TTAAAATATCTTCAGAAGTTAACTCATGTGTTAACACTGCACCAGAGTTGGATTGAGACTTGTTACAATCCCATTATTTTATTTTTTTCACAATGACATCTATGTTGAATTTAACTTTGTTAGTGACATGACAATATAGCTTATAAGCACATGCACTATGGTACCCTACAAGCAACATAACTCTGCTTCTGTCATCTAACTTTCTTCTCTTAGCATTTGGGACATGTTTATCACAAATAGAACCAAACACCTTCATATGGCTTACACTTTGCTTATCTCCGGTCCATTTTTCAAAAGGAACAATTTCCTTCAGCTTCTTAGTTGGACATTCAACTCCCTTCTCTTAGCATTTGGGACATGTTTATCATAAACAAAACCAAAGACCTTTAGATTCCTTGCAATTTGCTTATCTCCTGTCCATTTCTCAAAAGAAACAGTTTCCTCCAACTTCTTAGTTGGACATCTGTTGAGCATATATGTTGCAGTGGCAACAGCTTTTCCTCATAAAATGTGAGAGAGCTTCTTCTTCTTTAGCATGCTCCTTATCATATCAAGTAAAGTTCTTTTTCTTCTTTCAGAACAACCATTATGCTGAGGAGTGTATGGAGCAGTCACCTCATGTTCAACTCCATTCTCTTCACAAAACCTTCTGAGCTCTGATGAGTTATACTCACCTCTACCATCAGTTTTGAGAATTTTCAGCTTCTGACCACTCTATTTTTTAGCATTCATCTTGAACTTCTGAAATTCATCAAACACCTCTTGCTTAAACTTGATGAGTGCTACCCATGTCATCCTTGTGAGCTCATCCACAAATAGCAAAGTACATATTTCCTCCAAGTGAGGGTGCTTCAAATGGTCCACATACATAAGAATGCACCACTCATAAAACATGTTTTACTTTTGTAGCCATTTATGATGTAAATGACAATCTAAGTTACTTGCCTTTCAAGCATATCTCACATGACTTCTCAGGCTTGACAATCATAGGAATGCCATGCACCAGCTTCTTAGAACTCAGATGCCTCAATCTCTTGTGCCACCGCTCACTGTCAACTAAGGCATTTAGTTTCAGCTGTTTTCACATTCACCTTTAATGTATTGTTGCTTCTCTGTTCAGACTATAGAATTAGCTCCTGATCAAAATCATACAACTTCAAGATATTTTTCTTCATAATAACTGAGAAACCTTTCTAAATTAGCTGACCTACACTTATCATATTTCTCTTCATGGCAGAAGCATACCAAACATCCTTGATCAAAACAATTTTGTCATTTTTCACTTTGGACTTGACATTTGCCCTTCCTTAAACATTTAGATACTTATCGTCAACACATATGATCTTTTTTCACTTTATAGAGTCAAAATTAATCAGTCATTGTTTGTTTCCAGTTAGGTGATTAGATAAGTCAATGTCCATATATCACCAGTCTACCAAATATCCACCATCAGATTTAGAAGTCATCAATAGCACTAGTTCATCATCTGATTTTTTTTCCTTTTCTTGTTTGAACAACGGTCAGCAGCAAAGTGACCAAACATCTTACAACAGTAGCATTAAACCTTCTGCTTGTTAAACTTCTCCTTTCCCTTCTGATGCTTCTTCTCATCAGAGTTAGCGGCTTCTGACTTCTGATAACCACTGTCATGCCTCTTTTTGGCCTACGACCAAGACTACTTTTGATTCTTCTTATGAGAATACGCTTTTAGAGCCTGATCTATTTCTCTTTTAGAGTTTCTCTCAATCAGACACAACTTTTGTGCCTCTAAACTACTTTGTAACTTTTAAATTCTCATGGTGCTAAGGTCTTTAAGAGTGTTCAATTGCTACAACAAAGTAATCAAATTGAGGAGTAAGTGATCTCGATACCTTTTCAATGATTACTTGTTCAAAGAGAGTCGCTCCACAAGATTTTATCTCATTTGTGATCAGAATTACTCTGAAGGTGTAATTAGGTACCTTCTCATTATTCTTCATATTGAGATTCTCACACTGCTTACGTAGAGACTGAAGCTTCACTTTCTTCACTGATGCATCACCATCATAAAATATACCAGCGTGTCTCACGCAGACTTCATTGTCGTTGAATCAACGATCTTCTCAAACACATTTAAATTCACACACTGATGGATATAAAACAAAGCCTTCTGATCCTTCTTCCTTATTTCTCTATGCATGTTTCTTTGGACTTCAGTTACATCTGCTGGAACTGCTGCGTAACCGTCATTAACAAGATCAAGAACATCTTGAGTTTCAAACAACACAGGCATCTTAATCATCCATCGATTCCAATTCTTCCCATCAAAGACTGAAAGCTTTGCGTTCAAGCTACAATTTCCGCTATTCATCTTCGTTTTTGTGCAGAATCACTCAAATCTCACCAACACTTGTGTTTCTCAATCGCTCATGATCAAAAAATGTGATTATGTTTCGATTTCGAATTTCAATTCACTGTGAATTTTAAAAACTAAATCAATCACACACATCTCACATACACTTGTATTTTTCTATTTGAATATGGACCGAAATTCTAGATACTAATTGTTGGTGCACAAAATTGAAGATGAAGAAGATGATGGAAGAGAAAGAGAAAAAAGAAATCTGTAACTAATTTTCTCTAGCTGAATTGGAATTGGTTACAAAATAAATTCTATTCTAAACTGAAATTAACTTTCAGTATTTATACGATCAGAATCTCAATGAAACTCCCTCAATCCTTAATGCACAAATAATGTTTAAGGAAGTTGCAATGAGACGCCAACTCACATTAACTTTACTTAAAACATTCAAACTTTTTTCAGAGCTTAGCAGTGTGGCTTATTTGGCTTCATTCTAAACTATTTTGAAATCTTCCATGCTTAAATTTACACTATTCTCCAAGGCTTCTCTCTTGCCAATAATACGGACCTTTATAACTCGATATTCTATGTTTCGCCCTCATTAAGACCCCTTGAGGAATCACCTTAAACATGTTTTGATTCAAGACATAATGATATGATATACTTTTTAGTGATGCAAAAAATGAAGATGTTTATTTTATGACCAAGATCGAAACTGCCTCAAACATTGACATCACAACACACGTCTCATTTGTTCCTAGACTAAGCAACATCCTTGCAACATTCTGCATGCCTTTTCAGATGTATTTTTTTTTTTTTTAAATCTTGGAACCAAAAAATATATGTTAATTTCATTTAACATTATTAATTATGTGGACCAAATGATTGATAAATTAATTAAGGTTAATTTAAAAAAAAAATTCTTAGTCCTTTGTCTCACACACACACTTTGCTACCGATCCCCTACACTACACGCAGTACTAAGAAAATAAATGCAGTACTTGTCTTAATGGGTTGTTAGTTGGAATAGTTGTCCCACAAGGATCTTCATCCAGCTGGGTGATAGTGGGTTCCACAACACAAAGTCAGAGGTTAATGATACATGTTTTCCACGTCACCATGAAATACCATAACGGTACGTAATCACAACCATTGACCTTTCTCAAATTCCACGACAACATACTTTTTTTTTTACCTTTCTCTTCACTCTCCCGCTCTTTTTTGTAATGATCACAACATAACTTAACATTTGTTTTTATTTTAAAGAATTACTAACACTTAATACATTTTTATAAGAATAATAATATTTAAAATTTATATTTATATACATTTATCCTCAAATAGAACTCATTAAGATATACAAATCATATTTAGTTGTGACATTAAAATAAATTTATTGATAACTAATAAGTTTTAAAAAATTAACCTTAAAAAAAAGAATTAATATTTTAAAATATTCATTACAAATCTTTAAAAAAGGTAACATAATTACAAGTATGCCCCTCTGTCCCACAAAAAGTGTATAAATAAAAAAGAAAGAATAATACTTTTCAAGAAGTACTCCTAATCAAATATTAAAAATTGAAAAAATAATAATAAATATATTAAAAGTTGAAAATCATTAACTTTAGAACAATTTTATATTATAAATGGATCGTGGGACAGAGGAAATAATATAAATAGACTCGAATCTCAAATATTTAAGGAAACGAAGTATTTTGATCAAAATTTGAGTAGAAGTTTAATTCACCGCAGTCATGGAGATGGAGATGAAATCAGATGATCTATATTTAAAATTCAGTATTCCTTATTATTTGAAAAATCAACTCTATTAAATCTGACCACTCAATTTCAATCTTATGGTTATGAATGTTGTGATGGCATAACATCACTAAGATGCCCACTGCAGCGAATCCAATTTCATTGGGGGTATTTGTGTTTTTTGACTAATCAATAATGCAACATACCGACAGAAACATGATTTTGTCCGGGGATTTAGAAACATTCATCTAAAAAATCTAAAAGTAGGCCAAACAAAGTATCCCCCGTTTTGACTCGATCATAGTTCTACTCCTATCTAGCTAGGCAACCTGCCCTAGCTAAGTGTGACCCTTGACTAGCACATATCCGACATCAACCACTCCCTAATGGGTAATGGCCCGTGAACACACAGGACACCTCAATCAAAATCCAGAATGAGTAAATAGTCCTAGCCAACCTTCCCATTCATTCAACCAAACTTTCCAAATTCTCTGCAGTTTTACTCTTCAATAGTATAGCATTCTCTTTCAAAACTCTTTTGAGCGACGTTATGGTGATTCTCTAGGAACGAGATCACATTCAAGAGTCCTCAAAAACTTAAGCAGTTAAAAAATCAATCGATGCTGAAAAGGACATCTAATAGTAGAAAACTTTCTATGATATAAAGATGGTCAACAAAGTGTTCCACAAGTCTACTAAGTGAAGTTCACTTCAATAATTTTTGCATTCCCTTTAAAACAAACTTGATATTCAAATCAAAGATTATGATTATCTACTGCAATTGATAATAACCTATTTAAGCCACCGAAAACTGTGGGAGGAGGGGGGATAGATGTGAAAAGTAGTGAAAATATTAAATATTGTCTTACCAAAGTAAACAAATTCTACTATATGTACATCAACTACTCCCGCGCTTAAAATGTTCTCGAATAAACCTTTCGGCGTAAGCTGGGTACTTCTCTCTAAGGTATTCCCGAAGGCACTTCTGATATGAGAAATCAATCCAGCCACCATCAGTTCTTACGACAAAAAGACACCTTGAGTGTCGAAATTGGGGATGACGGTCAACCTGCAATGAAAATAAGTCATGTACATTTTATGAAAATAATCACAGCTCATCCACAAACAAATCCAAACAATAGTAATTTAATTAACGATTTTAAGGTCAGTTGATGTAAATTTTTTGGAAAAAGGAAATAATATGAAACAAAGATTACAAGTTTTCAACTAAAATTGGGCATCCAACGACCGTGTGACAAAAACGAAAACTCCGGATTAAAGGCCTTTAGCCCCTTACTATCAAAAGTCAATTGAAAACAGAACTGTAGATCAAACCAAAAATATTCAAATAAATTGCAATAGGCAATCCAACTAAGACATAAGTTATTAGAAGTCTGATAGGCCTAGTCCAATGGAGGGGACACTTTGATGAGCTCTAAGCATGATAAGCTCAAGTTTCGGAGAGTTTATGAAAGAAAGAAAGAAAAGTTAGTTAGAGAGTTCTTATTAGAAGTCGAGAGGCAAGGGGTGTGTGCCTTATGTCATGATTTCTGTTATGATTTGAAAAAGGGAGGGAGAGAGACTCGTTTTCTTCTTTTGAGGAGCTCTCAGCTCCGGACTTGTATAGGAATTTCATTTCCAATTTCCAATTACTGAATATACAATTCACAGTTTCATTCACCTTTTCAATTACTCTGCCCTATCAATTAGTTCGACCTGACATTGTTCATGCCCCAAAGAATGGTTGATAGCCAATGTAGTGGAGCGCCCTATGAACCATTTGGAAGCTCTTATGGACGCTATGCAGGAAGCTATCCTGACCGAGAGGAGGAGGTTGCTGGAGACTCATCCACAGCTCGAGAGCACGCCTTAAGGCGATGGAGCAACTTCTTCGTTGGACAAATTTCACCTCCCACCTTTTAATGGCAAAGAGTTAGTTGTGTGGAATGCGAGAGTGGAAACGTCATTCTTCGAACTTCAACACGTTTTTGAAGTACATTTTTAGCTCCACGAGCTCAATATAGAGGGTCATACCATCCACTAGTTTAACGTTCGGAGGGAATAGACAGTGTTTGGTGTGGGTCTGATGGGTTAATGAAACAGTAAATAGCAGATTAAGAACAAAGGAGCAAAGGTAATTGTTTATATGATGAATAACAATTACAAGCAGCAAGAAATAGTAATGGTAGATAGTAATAATAGGTAACGTGAATTGATAACAGACTATCAATTCCCTATAGCCACAAGGCCTCAATTCACAAGAGTGAATCAATTCTAACAGAATACTTGGCTAGCCATTCTCTCTCCTCTAACTGTCTTAATATACTCCGCTGACCTCACTCCTCATGCATCCCATGCACACGCGTTTTCCTCCTCTTTTCTCTCTCTTGTTTTCCCACGCCTCCTCTCATACACTCTCCATATCTTGGGCCTGATGTTAGAGTCCAGGCCCAACTGTGTCTCCTTCGCTCCATCAATACTCCCTCCTTCCAAATTAACCTTGTCCTCAAGGTTAAAATCCGGAAACTGCCCCCTGAGTACAGCATCATCATCCCAAGTTACATCCTCGACAGGTCTGTTCTTCCACTGAATTAAACTTTGAGGAGTGGAAACACCCCCTTGAACTGTCACCCTACTGCCCAACACCTGCATAGGATATATCTCATCATCTAGTACGACGTCCAACTCCTTAGGCAACTCCCCTTGCACTTGGTAATCCCCAATTGCCTTTTTAAGTAAAGACACATGGAAGACCGGGTGAATTTTAGACTGGTCAGGCAACTGCAATTTGTAGGCCACTGCACCTATCTTCTCTATAATTTGGAAAGGACCATAAAAACGAGCTGCAAGTTTTTGATTAATCCTTTTGACTACAGACTGCTGCCTATGAGGCCTCAATTTCAGAAACACCCATTCCCCGACTTCAAACTTCAAATCCCTCCTCTTCTTGTTAGCATAGGACTGCATTTGTTGTTGAGCTTTCAGTAAATGTAGTTTCAACTGGTTGAGTGCTTCATCCCTGTTCTTCAGTTCCAAAGCCACTGCTGCCACTTTGGTTTCATTGCTCAAAAATCCCAATAACTTGGGTGGTTGCCTCCCATATACCACCTCAAAAGGAGATTTTCCTATAAAGACATGATAGGTCGTGTTGTACCAGTATTCTGCCCACGGAATCCAGTAAGACCACGATTTAGGCTGCTCAGCTGCAAAGCACCTTAGATAGCTCTCAAGGCATCTGTTAATGACCTCTGTTTGTCCATCTGTCTCAGGATGGTAAGACGAACTCATTTTGAGTGCAGTCCCCTGCAATTTGAACAACTCTTTCCAGAAATAACTCACAAACAACGGGTCTCTGTCACTGACAATGGAATTGGGTATTCCATGTAGCCGAACCACCTCCCTCACAAAAACCTCTGCAACAGATTTAGCTGTGTACGGGTGTTTCATTAAGATGAAATGACTATATTTGGACAACCTATCCACCACCACAAACACTGCCTCATATCCCTTGGACTTAGGTAGACCAGTAATGAAGTCCATGGAGATATCCTCCCAAACAGCATTCGGTATCAGCAACGGTTGCAACAGACCCCAGGAGTGGTGGCTGCATACTTTTGTCTCTGACAGGTGTCACAGGCCCTCACGTAGTCCCTAATGGTCCTTTGCATACCACTCCAATAGACATTTTCAGATATCCTCCTGTAGGTTCTGAGGAATCCTGAATGGCCCCCCATGGGAGTGTTATGGCACTCCTTTAGTAGTAAAGGAATAGAGGGAGAATTTGGTCCTATTACCAAGCGACCATGATACATCAACACACCCTGTTGCAGAGTAAAACCAGGTCTGGATTGTGGATTCTTTTCCACCTCTTCTGTTAATTTCTTCACCTCATTATCTTTCTTCACCTCTTGCAGTAACCTACTGCTCTCCAGCCAGTTTGGTGTATGTAACATAGAGGCTAATTCCCCTTCATCAAAGCACCTTGACAACGCATCCGCTGCTTTGTTTTCCAAGCCCGGTTTGTATTTCACCTCAAACTGGTACCCTAAGAGTTTAGCCAGCCAACACTGTTGGTCAGGTGAGGACACTCTTTGCTGTAAAAAATGTTTAAGGCTCTTGTGGTCAGTGTAAACCACAAATTCCTTACCCAATAAATAGTGTCTCCAGTGCTGTATGGCTAGAACCAAAGCCATCAATTCCTTCTCATACACAGATTTTGCCAAGTTATTCTCAGATAAGGCCTTACTGAAGTAGGCAATGGGCTGTCTCCTCTGCATCAACACAGCTCCCACACCTCTCCCTGCAGCATCACGTTCGACTTCAAACGGTAAGAAAAAATCAGGAAGCACCAAAACAGGAGGAGTGGTCATGATTCTTTTCAATTTCTCAAAAGCTTCTTTGGCACTCTCACTCCAAAGGAAATTGTCCTTCTTTGTGAGATCAGTTAGAGGCCTGGCAATTTTACCATAGTCTCTAACAAACTTCCTGTAATATCCCGTGAGACCCAAAAACCCTCTCACGCCTTTCACATTTTTAGGACGGGCCAGTCTAAGATACATTTTATCTTTCCAGGATCGACGGCTACCCCTGCTCCAGAGATGATGTGCCCCAAATAATCAATTTGAGAACAACCAAACTTACATTTGGATTTTTTGGATTTGTTTGCCACAAAACAATTACTGACCAGCACTGCCAGCACTTGTTGTAAATGTTTACCGTGTTCTTGAGCATTCCTACTGTACACCAGAATATCATCAAAGAATACTAGCACAAATTTCCTCAGAAAAGGCCTGAAAATGTCATTCATTGTCGCTTGAAACGTAGCAGGCGCATTCATTAGCCCAAAAAGCATGACGAGATACTCATAATGACCATTATGAGTTCTAAAAGCAGTTTTGTGGACATCTTCCTGAACCAGTATCTGATGGTAACCTGCTTTTAGATCAATTTTGGAGAAAATTGTTGAACCATACAATTCATCCAAGAGCTCATCAACAATTGGAATCGGATATTTGTCAGGTATAGTCGCCTTGTTAAGGGCTCTATAATCCACACACATCCTCCACGTGTGGTCCTTCTTCTTAACCAAAATCACCGAACTCGAGAAAGCGCTCATACTGGGTCGTCTTATGACCCCTGCCTGTAACAGTTCTGCCAACTGCCTCTCAATTTCCTCTTTTTGATGATGGGGGTACTTATAAGGTCTCACATTGACAGGACCTTGATTTGGCAAAAGAGTGATTCTGTGCACCTGCTCCCTCATGGGAGGCAAAGTCAATTTGTCTTTAAACACCTCAGGGTATCTCACCTTCTCTTCCTGTCAAAAAAGCATTAAGACATCCTTTTTGAATTTGTCTTTCCTTCTGTCCCTGCAAGGTAATCACTTCTCCTTTATGCCAAAACTGCATAGATAGATCCTTCCAGTCCATTATGACCTTTCCAAGCGTACTCAGCCACGAGATTCCCAACACCACATCCAATTCACCCAGCTCCAACACCAAGGCATCAATGGTGAACGTTTTAGATCCCAATGTCAATTTGATTCCTCTGCATATACCTTCGGACAACACCCTGTGACCGTCACCCAGCTTGATTCTTTTCACCCTAGTAGGTGTAATTGTCAGCCCCAACGCCATAGCCAATTTAGGAGAAATGAAACTATGACTAGCACCACTATCAATGAGAACCTCAACATTTACATTAGTAAGCTTCCCTTCAATTTTCATGGTATGGTGCTCTCCCATTTTACCAAGGATCCCTATAATCTTACATTCTGCTTCAACTTCTTCTTCATCCTCTGTCTCTTCCTCCTCCAGCGTCACAATCTCACCCTCCTCATTCATCGTTTCTCCATCTCCAAGTATCAACACACGCATCGAGCGCTCAGGACATTTGTGCAACGCCGGATGGTACTTTCTGCCACACTTAAAACACAAACCCTTAGCTCGCCTCTCCTCCATCTCTTCATTTCGCACACCTTTCCAACGTTCAGAGCCCCCACTTCGCCGTTCAGAATCAGGTTTCTTCCCCGTCGAACTCAGCGATGACGAGGAATTCATGTTGGACCCT